GCCATGCCAGGTCTTGGGACATAATAATAGGAGATCACTTGTGGAATGCGATTGTTGGTTTTTGGATGGTATCTGGCCGTCAATTAAAACAACCCTTAAGGCCTTGGACTCAAGTCGACAGTTTAGGCTTTTTAAGTGGGGTTTGCCATGCAAGGTCTTGTTTATAAGAGATTATATATATATATAGACACACACACACAAAGTACATAAATCTCGACATAAAACTTTTTTTTTTAATTTTTTGTTATTGGAGTTTTTACAACTTGTAATGGATTTAAACTATTGAGTTATTTAGATCTTATCTTATTCTTTTAAGTTTTTAATGAAACTTATATTAATTAGAAGAAAAAGAATTCGAACTAGATAGGAATATCATGCATCATTAACCGATGAACCAAATGTTAAGATGCTTAATGAAACTTATATTAAGTTAAATCATTACTATCAAATTTTAGATAATAATTAATTTTTATAAAAAAGTAACAAAATATTATATGACCATCAAATTTTCCATTGAAATAATATGAAATAAAATTAACTATACTTAATTTTATTGTACTTTTTAAATCTAGATAAACAAGGGTTTTTAGGATTTACAGTTTTTTATATACTTCTTTCTTAATTAATTGTTTTTGTAATATTTGGAAATCTCATTATTATGTTCTTATAAAAGAATTTATGACTCAAATCTACAAATAAGTAGTAAGGGTGAAAAGAAACTAAATTAAATTGGTTTAATGCACAATGATTTATGGGTATAGCTATTTTGTAAGAAAAAGGAATATTTACATTGCTTTTCGGAGCAGATAAGTGTGTTTAATCCCCTTCAGCATATGTACATGAGATGTGGCGCTCACGCCGTACGTGAACTGGCTAACGCTATACGATATAGAATATGCGATTGTGTAATAGGGTCATTTACATATAAGATTTGAATATAAAGTATTATGAGATGGTGGCCAGTCTCACTGAGTTTCTATTTGCAGTAATGATGCAGAACCATTCCCAAAACTACCATCGGCTACAAACTCGGACAGATCACCACTCTCGAAAAAGGATTGGTGAAGGGCCTTAACACATTTTTCAGCTTCACCATCATTTACTATCAGTGAGATGTTCACCTGTTCAGTTCCCAAAATTACATCTATCAGAAAAATGAAAGAATGACCAATACTGCAGTTTTATACCCAAGAGGTATTATGAGGAGACCTTGGATGCCCCTTGGGAGATCATCTGGACATTTACTCCAATGGTTCGAAGAACATGAAATACCTGTCAAAATTTGACCCCCCAGTTAATATTAATGTGATGAATAGGAAAAGGGAACCTTTGTTCTGTATGATATCCAATTCTTGAAACTCTCAAGAATAAAACAGCTCTGGTAATCATCATGTTGATGGTGTAACAGATAATTCATATAATTTCCACGATTTGAACAGAGAAAAATCCTAACCTTTTCCAGTATCAATGAAGAACGTTGAACATTTCCAATGAGAGAGATGATTGATCTGCGCCGCAAGAGATCAACAACGGCAATTTTCTCAAGTTCTTCCACAACATGGTCGAGTTCCTGCTCAGACAAGAATCTTCTTCAAATGGATTTTAAGACTGAGAAAAACAAGAGTTCAACAAGAAAAGAGATTTTTAATTATGGCTAAAATTCAAGATTCCACCAATAGAAACATTGAACATAAAAAATCCAGGCAGAATTCCAGCATGCCAAGTGCAATTTTGACCGCTCAATGACAGATTTGGCTCCAATGTAAGGAATAATAAGCACAAGAAATAATTCTCCAATGACATATCAGCTCATAGCTGTGCTGGAATCCATTCATGCTGGAAAGCACAGAAGCAATTAAGATTCAAACAACATAAATTTTTCCCTTGCCTGTTGAATCAATTCCCTACTCCAAAGTTTTGATGGGTCCAATGTCAAAGACAAACTAACTTCACTTGTAGCAACAACATCCACAGATATACCCAAATCTTCAAAAATGGAAAACACCTGATTGGAGGGAAAATAATATCAAATTCCATTTACAGCTTACAGTAAACAAGGGCTAAAGCAGAACCACGACAACATCATTTCTCACCTTAGCAAGGAAACCAAATTGACCAAGCATGCGGGTACTAACTATATCCAACATGGTTACATTCCGCTTCAAAACTATGCTGGTCAGCACAGCCTGTAATTGGATTTTGGGTTAAAAATGTAAGCTTTCAAATTATGATTTAATCTGCTAAAACTCAGCTGCTAAAAGACCTTGCTCATATCTCTTGTTTTAGTTATGAGAGTTCCAGGAGCTTTAGGATTATAAGAATTCTTGACTCTAACAGGAATATCACCCTCTCTTGCTGGTCTCATTGATTGTGGATGTAAGACCTGAAGAAAAACATACAGGTTAACTTTAGCTTTTCAGTTCTCTTTGCAGACTCCATGAGAAGTTGGTCATTATAGAATTTTAATTGTCACCTATTTTAGCTCAAGCAATAAACAAATTCTCTGGATTTGCAATGGCAACAACAATGGGTTGAACATATAAGTAAGCAAAGCATTCCAAAAGTGCGATATTATTATCACATTTAATCAGGGGAAAAAAACAAAGAAATAAGAAGAAGAACGTATGATAAAATGAAAATTCTTTCGGTGCATGATAGTTTAGTTCATCTCTACATCACTACTAAAGATATACCAGCAAGAGGCAACAAAAGTCTAACCTGAGCACCAAAGTAAGCAAGCTCAGCTGCCTCATCAAATGTTAAATATGGTACAGGTTCTGCCCCTGGATAAATAGTTGGATCACAGGTTAAGACACCATCAACATCCTTCCACACCTGTTCAAATTTTGGGAATGAGCTGCTAGATATTTTGGTCGAATATATAAACAGAATTGACTATTTTTAGAGTATCTAAAAAGAGTACTAGCAGCATTAGTCAACTATAGAGCATCAGATACAATATCTTGCAGGGTGATGCACTTGCATGACAGCATGTATGAGATCATATGAATTCTTGATGCAGATGCATTTAGTTTCAGGGCAAAATCTGACCTGAATCTCTTGCAAGCCTAAAGCTCTACCAATGGTTGTAGCTGTTAAATCGCTTCCACCCCTACCAAAGGTAGTAATTGCGCCAGATTTCCAGCCCTGAAAAAAGAACATAAATTATGTTGGTGATAACATGCCAATAAACTCTAATTGAGCAGTTGAGATGTTTTGATCCAGAACACATATCCAACATTAAGCAGTAAAACCACCTTTCCAAGGAAGCCAGTTACAATGGGAATTGCAGGGTCATTAACCCAGTCACTGTATAATCTCTTTGCAACAGCTGGGTAAGTAGCTTCCAAGATGTCTGCATTTGTGAAGTCATCAGTGGTTATGAAACCGATTTCAAATGCATCACACTGCAAAAGAGTATTTAGTGACACAGTTAGCTGATAGGAAGTAATATAAACTGGCAACAGATAATAAGAGTAAAATCAGAATGTGGCAAGTGACTAAAGATTGTAGTAGACATACTTGGCGTGCTTTAATGCCAATTTTATTTAGATAAGCTGCGAAAATTCTTGTGGACATGCACTCTCCAAATGAGACCAAATAATCCGTTGTGCGAGGAGTTAACTCCTTCATCACTGATATACACTTCAAAAGTTGCTCGAATTCTTCTAAATGTGCTGCAAAAAGTATCAACAAGAATATTAGTTCAAATAAAATAAGCACCTAATAATTCTTGGAAACCACCGACAAGTTTGCTTCAATTTACAGTACATTAGTTTATCAGAAAATAACCTTCCTAACTGTGCACAACTAAATCCCATAAATATGCCAAGATTGATGTACCTAACAAAGAAAAAGAATGTAGTAAAAGAAATACTCACTGGAAATGACAGATCGATCAACTTCAAGTTCATCAACCGTCCTGAACCAAAAAAAGGGTGCAAATTAAGACTGAAAAGGCATTATAATTCCTAAAAGAAGATGGCAAAAACACAAACCTGATATGCAAATCCTTTATAAGACGCAACTCCTCAATTTCAGCCGCATTCGAAACTCCGCAGCTCACAGCTTTCTCTCCAGCCTATATTAAAATGGGTAATAGCATAATGTAATTCACAAATGAACGAATTAAGAAAAAGAAAGAAATGGAATGCCGGTGGCCGTCGAGCATTACTAGCAAAAGTTTGTTGGTGGTTTTTCCCATGGCAGAGAGAACAATGACAGGCCTTTCTTCCTCGAAACTCTGAATCAAATGGGCGATTTCTTTAATTCTCTCCGCCGATGCCACCGACGATCCCCCGAACTTCATAACGCAAGTGAATTGCTTCACATTTTCGCCGAAGCTTTCCTTCTCATCCTCTTCCTCCTCCGTCCTTTTCTCTTCCAGAGCCGCTCTGATTCCTCTCTGGTAACCGACTCTCAACGCTCTCCTCCTCCTGCACGCACCCCCTCCGATCGCCGACAACATATCCGTAGACGCTACGAACTGGATGCGAGTGGAACATAGCGAGGGCGAGCGCGTGTCGAGGAATCGCGAGTGGGTTGGAGTTTTAGCGCCACAGAGTTGCAAAGAAGCTGCCATTTTGCCGTTGGAATTGGAGAGTGTATCCGAAACGAGATTCAAGCGTATAAAAGATTCTGGGAATTCATTTCATTTCAAATCTTCTCAATTTGTTTGGAATTCGAAGGAAAAGAGGAACATGGAAGTGGAATTTAGTAGAGTGGGACTGAACCGATGGCAGGTGGAATGTAACAGATTTTACGAAGAACGGTAATAGGGCTTCGGCTTTGACTCCGCTCTTCGTCTTGGATAAATCAAACGACAACATTTCATTCCCAAGGATACAGTTGAATGGTAAATTTGTCAATCTAACCTACTTTCAGGCTGTTAAAAAGGCAAAAATGGAATAGGAAAGCGTCAGGTAAAATAGAAAACACTGGGAAGAAAAACCCGCCAACTCTCTCCGTGTCTTGGATTAAAACCGTTGTTTATATAAACTTGTTGCATTCTTTGAACTGAAATTTTCCAGGTAGAAATATGGCCAATATTTCCTTGCCGTCTTCTCGTCCTTCACAAATATCAGCAACTAAGAACGAAACTCCATCAATAAAACCTGCGAGTTTTGCCCAATTCCCTTCATGGGTCTCTCTCAAAAGCACTTCTTCGTCACTGAAAATCCCCCTAAGCCAACAAGGCCAAGTTGAGAACGTACACTTAGTTTCTTTATCTAAACAGGGGAAACTCAAAGAAGCTCGTGACTTCCTCAAACAAATGGAGGAAGCCGGCGTTCCCGTCAATCCCCACTCGTATAAATCCCTTCTCGAAACCTGTAGCAAAATGAGATCTTTATCGGACGGTAAATTAATTCACAACCATTTGCGAAGAACGATGAAGAACCCATCTGGGTTTCTCGAGAATTCTCTTTTGCAAATGTATTTGGACTGCGGGAGCTTTTTGGATGCGGAGAAACTGTTTGATAATATGATTGAGAAAAATCTAGCATCTTGGATTGTACTTCTTTCTGCTTATTCACAAAAAGGTCATCTAAAGAAAACTTTTTCGTTATATTCACAAATGGTTGAGTTAGGAATTAGACCGAATTCGACTATTTTTACCAGACTCTTGAAGAGTTTATTTGATCCTTCTGTTTTGGAGATTGGGAAACAGATGCATTCTCTCCTTATAAGAACTGGGTTAAGCACCAATGTTTCTGTTATTACAGCGATCTCCAACATGTACGCTAAATGCGGGTGGTTAGAAGGGGCTAAGCTCGTTGTGGGTCAGATGGTTGAAAAGAATGCTGTAGCTTGGACGGGATTGATGATGGGGTGTACTCAAGCTGACAAACAGAAAGATGCTTTGGAATTGTTTGGTAAAATGGTAAAGGAAGCTGTTAAATTGGATGGGTTTGTGTTTTCGGTTGTTCTGAAAGCATGTGCTGGATTGGAGGATTTGAACTTAGGGAGGCAAATTCATGGTTATGTTGTTAAACTTGGGTTCGAATCTGATGTTTTCGTGGGAACTCCTGTTGTGGATTTATATGTCAAATGTGCATGTTTTGAATCTGCTTGCCGAGCATTTGAGAGGATATCTGAACCGAATGATGTGTCATGGAGTGCTATAGTCACTGGCTACTGCCAAGTTGGTAAATTTGAGAAATCGCTTAAGATTTTTAAATCATTAAGGATTAAAGATGTGTTTTTGAATTCTTTTGTATATACTAGCATTTTCCAAGCATGTTCTGTTCTTGCTGATCTTAATGTGGGTGCCCAAGTTCATGCAGATTCAATAAAAAGAGGTTTAATTTCGTATCTTTATGGAGAGAGTGCAATGATTACTATGTATTCAAAATGTGGTAGATTGGACTATGCGAATCGAGCCTTTGAGTCTATTGATGAACCTGATACTGTGGCTTGGACTACAATAATATGTGGTCATGCTTATCATGGCAATGCTTCTGAAGCCCTAAGGCTTTTCAGGAGGATGCAGGACTCTGGTGTGAGGCCAACTGAAGTTACATTTGTGGCGGTTTTAACTGCTTGTAGTCATTCTGGCTTGGTTACAGAAGCTAAACTGTATTTGGAGTCAATGAGTCCTGAATATGGTGTGAGACCAACTATTGATCATTATGATTGTATGATTGATATATATTCTCGTGCTGGTCTGCTGCAAGAGGCATATGAACTGATAAAGATTATGCCCTTTGATCCTGATTCAATGAGTTGGAAATGCTTATTGGGTGGGTGTTGGATCCATAGGAATCTTGAGCTGGGAAAAGTTGCAGCAGAAAATCTACTTCAGCTTGATCCAGATGATACTTCAGGTTATATTTTGATGTTTAACCTATATGCTTCATCTGGGAAATGGGAAGAAGCAGCTCATGTAAGACGTATGATGGGTGAAAGAAAGTTGAAAAAGGAACTTAGTTGCAGCTGGATTACTGTCAAGGGTAAGGTGCATCGGTTTGTGGTAGGCGATAAACACCATCCTCAGACACAGGAGATTTATGAAAAGTTAAAAGAATTCAACCATTCTATTATGAAGGATGAAGGTGGGGTTCTAACAGAAGAGGATGTACAATTTGGTTTGCCTGAGCGGAAACAGCAACTTATGGACCACAGTGAGAGACTTGCCATAGCATTTGGGCTCATATCTGTACCAAGCAATGCACCTATTATTGTTTTCAAGAATCTCCGGGCATGCAAATACTGCCATGATTTTGCAAAACATGTATCCATGGTCACAGGACGCAAAATCACCGTTAGGGATTCCTGCAGATTCCATCACTTCCATTTAGGGCAATGCTCTTGCAATGATTATTGGTGATGCTTGCAATATGTATTCAAGTTTAGTTGTATTTTTGTTATAAGCCATATCATTTCATTGATATAAAATATATACATTAAGAAATTCTCTCGTCAAAGTGAGCAGATGAATTTCCTTTTAAAACCGCACCCAGAATTCATCACGCTGTTACATTTCCAGATAGCAAATACAACCAAAAGTTCCCTAATATTTCACCCCAACACCCCCAGATCTCTTACAGTTCATACACAGCAATTTTAACTCAATTGCCCTATTAGTTGTTGTATTTTATTTGCGTATTAGGAAAAGAATTTCAACTGATAAAAGTTTTTCACCTCATCATATTTAGCTGGGATTGTGCATAATAGCACGTCTCCCCAGAACATCATTCTTCACGAGAAGTATTTGTGAAACTTGAAGGTATTGATAATTCTGTGGCTGAAAGTTCAGCATGAATTAATTCTCTTCATGATCTATGTCCACCAAAATTTCATGCTTGACTATTTTATAGGTTGTCATCTCTCATTTGGATCATCATCAGATAGTCTCAGCTTCTGGCTTATGGGAAAGAAAATTAATTTAAGCTGTCTTCTTCCTGGATTTCACTATTGCTCTTTTCATCTCAATCACAATCTGAATATATATATATTGTTAAGAATGGCAATGCTGCGGATACAATGTTGTGGCTGAAATTTGACAAAGGGTAAAAACAAACAAAAGAAGCAGACCCAACCATAAGAAACTCTTTAGGCAATGTGGTGGGGTTGGTTGCGGATACACGCGTGACTGCGTAACAGGATATGGTAAGCACACAATATTTGTTGATCTGCAAAATGTGGAAAAAGGAAAACCTGCAAGCGCATGGGTGAGCCAGTGGGTGGCCCCACAGTGACGCAGTCCAAGAATCTAAGGTTGATTGGTATTTGGTGCACTTTGCAACGAGCGATGGCAGCCATTTTTGTTGCGGTGGGACTGGAAGGTACATAAGTAGCATCATGAAGAAGGCAACCCTTCACCAGCTGACACGTCTCTGTTGTATTAAACTACTTGAATAGTCAAGTTTAAGAATCTCCAGATGATTGTTTGCCGGCGAAAGAGTATCCGGAACATCCCAGTGTGTCATCTGTCACCATGGATGGGAACCTTCCTTTCCTTTTCTTCGCGTTAGTGCTCACTGCCTGGTCTATTTAATTAAGCGGATAACCATATTACGTAATTATTATTTCTAATCACTTTAGATATCTTGTCTTTTCATTTTTTGTCCTTTTGTTTTTCTTTCTGAATGACCCAGTTGGGTCTTACATGCACTTGACATGTCATCTCAGCCTTCCTACTCGCATTTCATGTATCTGGCAGGTTGTCCAATAAGCCAAGCATCTTTTATTTGAGATGCAGATATGTTTCTATTATTTTTTCTTTAGATTAGGTAAGATGAAAACGAATCAAATAGAGGACCATGTCACATAACAAGAAGGAGGGAAGTTCTATGGAAATGGAATACTGTACTCTCTCCATTTGAATGAACTTGTTGGGGTCATATTGTGGAAATCCTTTTTGCCACTAGGAAAGTACCACGGGTGTAAGAGATAGGTTGCTTCAAACAACATATTACCATGGGTAGGATATTTGTTAATTTTTAAATATTTGATTTTAAAATTATTTAAATATCAAGATATTTTAACCTTGATTTTAGATAGCATTATAAAATATTATTCAAAACCAAACCCTATTAGTATGGCATTAACTGTTAATTATTTGAAATCATTAAATACTTAATTACACAAAGCAAATTTTTTATATATGGGTACCCATTTAATAACCCAAACTTGAATCCAGATATAAAAATATTTTACATTATTTCATATGCAATTAATTGAAAATTAAAATTTAAACCACAAAAAGAAAAATTGATTGAGATGGCTAAAATTGTATTGAAAGTAAAGAGGACAAATGTTTGAATCTCACTAATTAAAAATTTTTGTAACATTACATATAATATTATAATATTATGTTTAATTGGGTTCTAAGGGTGTCGAGTATATTAATACGTGAGAATTAATATAATCGGGTTCCGATTTAAGATGTCCTCAAGGTGATACTCAAAATTTACTTAAACTCGAGTGGGGTATTAAAAACCTTACTCGAATTTGCCCCATAATCAAATATAGATACCCAAACCCTATGTTATTGAGTTAGATACTCGTAAATGCCTGTGTAGCAACAACCAATTTACATCCCCACTTACAATAAATGTATTGGGGTGAGCCCAAAAGTCACTCAAGGATCCTCTCAAATTTTATTAGCTCTAATATTTATAGAGTGATTTATGATCCAAATCTTATTATGACCAACATTTTAGAGTGATTTATGGTTCTAAAATACTTACCCACCTACCTTGGATTAAAAATCAAAATTTGGATCAACATTCAAAACCTATATATGAAATAAGCTAAATATTTGCAAATCATAAGTTTTGAACTCATTAAAATTAGGTGCTTTTCTAAAAAATTTTGAGGATTGAAGTAAGAATTACTTATTTAAAAATTTATAGTCAATACAAACAATAAATGAATAAATTAAAAGTAATCACTAAACAAAACAAAAAAGAAAAAAAAACAAGGCTTTACCAACGGGAAATTTTTCTTTGACAAAATCCATGGACAAATACGAACAGATTACGGACAAAATATTGACAAAGTTGTCTTATAAGTATTACCAACAGAATATATCAACGGAACTCAATTTGTTGTTATTCAGTTGACAATACAATGATACGAAATTAATGAAGGGCACACCAAGATTACCGATCAAAATATTCTGCTAGTAAAAGGGCTACCGATGAAAGTTGTTAATGGAACATCTAGTCAGAAAAGATATTAAAGAGCCGATGGAATTACCAACAGAAAAGCCATCGATAATGCCACTGAACTCATTAGAAGCGTTAGTGACCACTTTGTCGACGAAAATCTACCGATAGTGGTACCATCGGTAATTTCATCTGTAATTCGAAATAATAACCCCAATCGGGGTTCACCCCCCAGTCCCATTTTCCCTCATTTCTTCCTTTTTACTCGGCTCTCTCTCTCCCTTTCGAGATTTCCCTTATCTACTCCTAGCCCCCTTTGCCTAGTGCTCAATTCTCATTGATTGACCACCCCAAAGCCAGTTACCTCCGACCCTCCTTGTCGGTAGCATCTCTTTCACTCGACGCTCTCTCTTCCATTCGGGATCTCCTTAAATCTCCCCCAACTAAGCTTCTCGGTTGCCATGAGTCTTTTTCCCTTTTGAATTTTATTTGTGAACATTTAGGGTTGCCAAGAATGTTGTACCTTTGGATTCTCGTGGCAGTAATTGTTCCCATTCCTGTAATTGTTTGGACTCCCCGGTTGCCCAGTGCTTGTGGCTGTCTTTGTGGTTGTGTTGTGGGTATCTTGTGGCTGTTGGAAAAAATATTGTAATTGACGGAAAGAAGGAAAGCACACAAGAAAAATGTAATTCTTTCTAAAGAAACGTAGCTTGGTAATACGTATAAACAGAGTTGTTGAACGATGAAAAGGCATGGATTTTATAGTTTGAATTTTTTAAATAAATTTATTCATGTAATTTAGCAGTGATAGTAGGCATTATTTATAGTACATAGATGTCTCAATATTTGATTTAACAATAAATACAAGTAATTGCCCTCAAAACATGATTTCGGTCTTTTTCTCAAATAATAATATTTTAGTTCTTAAGCAATTAATTAAATTAGTAATATTATTTAATTTAAAAATATTTAAATTAATTAAGGTGTGAGGGAACTAATTATATAATTTAACTAATTAAAAAGAATCATGTATTAGTAATTAAGAAAGTAATTAAACTATTAAATTTAGTAAAATTTAAAATTATTTAAATTAATCAAAGATTTATTAAATTAATTAAATAATTTAACTAATCCAATGAAAAAATATTTTACTAATTAAGCAATTAATTAAATCAGTAATATTATTTAATTTATAAAATATTCAAATTAATTAAGGTTTGATGAGTTAATTAAATAATTTAGTTAATTAGGTAATGTAATGTGTTATAAGTAATTAAGCAATTAATTAAATCATTAATATTATGTAATATTTTATTTATTTAAATAAGTTAAGGTTGGAGGCAATTAATTACATAATTTAACTAATTAAAAAGAATCATGTACTAATAATTAATCAATTAATTAAATTAGTAAATTTTGTAAAATTTAAAATTATTTAAATTAATTAAGGTTCTATTAAATTAATTCAATAATTTAACTAATCAACTGAAAAATGTTTAAGTAATTAAGCAATTAATTAAACTAGAAATATTATTTCATTATATAATATTTAAATTAATTAAGGTTTAATGAGTTAATCAAATAATTTGGTTAATTAAGTAATGTAATGTGTTATAAGTGATTAAGTAATTAATTAAATCATTAATATTACATATTTTATTTATTTCAATTAATTGAGGTTTGAGGGACTTAATTACATAATATAAATAATTAAAAAGAATAATGTATTAGTAATTAATCAATTAATTAAATTAGTAAATTTAATAAAATTTAAAATTATTTAAATTAATTAAGATTTTATTAAATTAATTAAAAAATATTATATACTTTTAAATTCATTGGCATTAAGTAAGATTTTAACAAATTAATATCTTGATAACAAACAAATTTTTATAATTTTAGTATTTAAGTTGGTTTCTTTTTTCTGATTGATTATTAGGTTAACATCTTTTAATGAAAGACATCATATGTCCGTTACAATATTTTTTTTACAATGGAACGAGATAGGTGTTGGATGTATTCTCGAGTAGATTCGAGAGGATTTTTGAAGACAATTTGTGAATGGAGTAAATGAATTGATTTCATTTGCATTCAATTAACCAAGATATGTGACTGAGAATAAGATTAGATATCTTTGCTCTCAGTGTATGAATAACAAGTTCTTGATTACTGATAAGATTCTGGAACACCTATTTTATAAAGTTTTTACTGGTGCGTACACAATATGAGAAGTACATGGTGAATCACTCCATACCAGACAATCATCGGGACATTTTGTTCATGAGCATAATGAAGTAGTTAATGCAGTTAAC